AACCCCAGACTGCTGAATTTAATCAAATATATTACAGATAAATATACATAATTAAATTTAATTAAATGAAATTATATCCTCTTATCTTAGCAAGTTCAATTCTTGTATCTTTAGTGTTGAGTAAAAAGAAATACGAAACTTAAGAAGACTTCGTCGAATTCTTTAACACTGCAGGCAAAAACTATACTACTAATGTTGAGATTGCCTACCAACCCCAGCTAGGAATCTAAGTCTTAGCAACTGCTGATTTCGATGGAATGTCTATTCCAGCATTTCATATACCTATTAGAATGGTGATGCATACATGTAAGATCTCGCTTAATTTATTACATACTAGTTGACGAATTCAAGTATAAAAAAGAACTTCTAGAAATATTGAATGATTGTCCAGAGATAAAAACTTATAATGAAAGAACTTAGGATGGTTCACTGGTTTGAAACTCATTACTTGCCCTCAAATTGCAGCTTATGTACAATTCCAAGGACGATCTTGATGATTATATGCTTGATTTAAATGAGAAAGAATAGGATTTCATTTAAACCTATCTAGACTATTACACAAAGGTCTAACTAGATGAATTTGAGGCTTGGACTGAGAGATAAAAGAAGATTGCTGAGAAATATTTGGATGGTCCTATATTTTCTACCAAAAGAGATTTACTGCACTATTAAATTATGGAAAGAATCAAATAGCATCCAATTCTTAGTAAGGAGTTAAGTAAGTCATTAGGAGACTATAAGTAATTTGACATGTGGTGTGGGATTGTTATTACTAGAAATCATTTGCTAACCCTTAAGTAACATATCGCTTTAAATTCAATCTTTTAGAATATGGGATTAGTTTGAGATCATCACATCAGATGAAAATGTAGAGTTAAATTCATAGTATCTATACAATATGAGTTCCTCAATAATACCAATGATTGATCTCATCAATCATAGATAGCCGATGGATAGCTTGAAGAGAGATTTAGTTAGATTCATGACAATTCCAATAATGAATGAATAAAAATAAAAAGCTGAATATCTCACAATTATTGTCAACAGTACTTTTAGAGATGGGGAAGAATATAATTATGCTTATTCTTGGGATATTTCTTCCTTTAAATTGCTCTTTACTTATGGTTTTACAGTAGATGACAATCTACTTTCTCATGAAACATTACTAACTGGCAATGTAATTTTATATTTTTTATTCATATAAAGGTTGTCAAAAGTCTTGAGGATCAATTCAAGGAGGTTTGCTAGTCACAATTCTGTCTAGAGATGAATCCAGAGAATTACAAAGATTCTATTCCAACTTTAGATTATACGCTCTACAGTAACACTTTGAATTAGAAAGTGCTGAATTTATACAGGATACAACTCCTTTAAGCTGATAACAGATTGCCTTTTATTCCAGGTGATTTGGCTGAGAAGGCTAAGCTTAATATAACTAAGCTAGGACGAATTACTCCCACAAATGAGGCAAGGGTCATAGGATATTTCTTGTAAGTTCTAAGAAGAAGACATGATTTAATGATGTCATTTGAAAAAATGAATGGAATAATTATGGACATAGAGAGAGATCCTGGTCATTTATAAGATGAAGATAAAAGAAGAGAATTGCTATCTATTAAGTATGCAGCTTAGAAAAAGCAAGTCTACCAAAGGAACATGATCATGGCAGCAAGAAGATAAACCTATTTAATTTAGAGAGATTTACTCTCCAATATTCCTTTTAAGCAGAATATTAACCAGTTACAATTGAAGCAAGCTTTGGTTGATTTCTTAAGGTCTTGATTAATTACACAATTAATAGTTGAACGCTTAAATTTTGTAACAAAACACTCTCTAAATCTTTAAAAATTACATTGTGCGGGGTTTTGGGGTTTTGGGGTTTTGGGGTTTTGGGGTTTTGGGGTTTTGG